AAACACTTTGACCTTTCAAAGTTGCTACAACTTTAGGAGTTCACAGATTCCTATTTTTTCAGTTTTTTTTTTTTGAGACGGAGTTTCACTCTTGTTACCCAGCCTGGAGTGCAATGGCGCAATCTTGGCTCACCGCAACCTCCGCCTCCTGGGTTCAAGCAATTCTCCTGCCTCAGCCTCCTGAGTAGCTGGGATTACAGGCACACGCCACCATGCCCAGCTAGTTTTTTGTATTTTTAGTACAGACGGGGTTTCACCATGTTGACCAGGATGGTCTCGATCTCTTGACCTCGTGATCTACCTGCCTCAGCCTCCCAAAGTGCTGGGATTACAGGCTTGAGCCACCGCGCCCGGCCTTTTTCCAGTTTTTATTAGGACACTTTAAACCTTCAGGGACTAGAAGTCAACCCCCCCACACCCCCGCAAATAAAAGCCTCAGTCTGAACCAGCACTGAGAAACAGTAATGTCGGAAGTTCTTTTTCCACAGAGAGCAAAAATACAGATATGTTTACTAATTTATTTTCCAAGAAAGAGAATATACTTTGTATTTAGAGAACAAAAATGCTTGTCAGGAGTTGCTTTTGGAAAATGATCGGTAGGTTCCTTGTCAGTTGTCTCAAAGTGATACCAGAGTCCATCTCCTCTCACATTCATTAATCTTCGTACTTCCCGCTCCTTTAACCGTGATTCAGCCTTTCCAGCTTCGATCTGAAGGTTGGCCATTATTCTTTCATAATTCTTTTCAGGACCACCATAGAAAGTACGGGCAATGCATCTTAATAAGGGATGCTGATACTAATCCTAGTGTTCTGGGATCTAGCCTTCTGGAATTTCTGCTAGTTCAGCTTGACCAGTGAATACATTCACCAGAGTTGCAATAATTGCTACTGGAATCCCAGTCAATAAAACGTAGAATCTCAATAACTTCAAAAAAGACCGGTCGTAGAATCTAGAAGGTTTGATGACAAATAGCCTTTTCCCAAGGTTTCCACTATGTCAAACAGGAGCAGTGGCCTTCGGAATGTCACGAGTGAGGAAACTCCCAAATCCCAGTCTGGTGCCAAGGTGGCTGCCAGACACAACTGCCACCGCAGTAACCTAAACCTATTGTGACAGACTCTTGGCCACCATGCCTACTCTCAGTTGACTTACTTACCAGCCTTGCCTGGCCCTATGAGCACGTGAGGTTGCAGCCCCCACCCCTGCCCCTGAAAACAGTGGTGAGAAACTCTTACTCCAAGGAAGCCTTTTCTAGGGGCCCAAGAGGCCTTGAGTTAGAATTCTTCCCTGATGCTGTGGGTTTTCTTCCTAAACCCCTTGAAGCCACTTCCGGGGCCTGAGGGGCTTGTGTGGATAGGCCAGCCCCAGGGTCAGGCTGTGCGTGTGGACATGTGAGGCCATCCAAGATCACTCGCCCTGAACGCATGTTCCTGCTCAGACCCAGGCCTTTGTAAACGCTGCTCTCTCTGCTTCCTAAATTTGTCCTTAGATCTTTAAAACAAAATTTAGCCAGGTGCGGTGGCTCACATCTGTAATCCCACCACTTTGGAAGGCCAGGGCGGGCAGATCAGGAGGTCGGGAGATCAAGACCATCCTAGCCAACATGGTGAAACCCCTCTCTACTAAAATATAAAAAATTAGCCGGGCGTGGCAGCGTGCACCTGTAGTCCCAGTTGCTTGGGAGGCTGAGGCAGGGAAATTGCTTGAATCCAGAAGGTGGATGTGGCAGTGAGCCAAGATCTCACTACTGTACTCCAGCTGGGTGACAGAGCAAGACTATGTCTCAGAAAAAAAAAATTAAAATTAATTTTTTAAGGGAGATAGATTTCACATACCGTGAGTTCAAAACTCATCCTTTTAAAGTATTTAATTCATTGGTTTTTAGTATATTTACAAGGTTGTGCAACCATCACCACTGTCTAATTCCTGTTTTCATCACCCCAAAAACCCCCCTCTTCACTACCCCCAAAACCCCGTGTCCTTTATATCCTAATCTACATCACTGCTAAGCAGTGCCGTCCACTGTAAACGAGGCATCCTTCCTTAGTCCCCACAACCCCAGTGTCTGCCCAGGCCTGACGGTCAGCTGATGTGTCCACCTCTTGGGTCTCTGTGTTGGTTCAAATGTCAGTAAATAGCCGAGAGCCTCATGGATACCCTGCTGGGACAAGCCCCCACAACTAAAGGGTGAGAGCCCCGAACACCAGGACCAGCTGATGGGACCCTGCCCCATTGGCCATTGTCAATGGACAGTGGCTGTCTCACATTAATTGTTGAATTTTTTTTTTTGAGACGGAGTTTCACTCTTGTTACCCAGGCTGGAGTGCAATGGCGTGATCTCGGCTCACCGCAACCTCTGCCTCCTGGGTTCAGGCAATTCTCCTGCCTCAGCCTCCTGAGTAGCTGTGATTACAGGCATGTGCCACCATGCCCAGCTGATTTTTTGTATTTTTAGTAGAGACGGGGTTTCACCGTGTTGACCAGGATGGTCTCGATCTCTTGACCTTGTGATCCACCCGCCTCGGCCTCTCAGGGTGCTGGGATTACAGGCTTGAGCCACCGCGCCCGGCTAATTGTTGAATATTTTGATTGTGACTGTTTACCCATGAATGACACTTTGCACACTGGGTTGAAATCACTCCTTGGTTTCTTTCCTTTCCCGCTAGAGATGAGTAACATCTGGGGGGGCAGGACTTGGTCCAGCCTGTTCGCGGACCTCTGACCTAGGCCTCAGCTGGGTAGATGGGAGGTTCTCCATACATGTGTTGTTGTTGCTCTGAGCTCAATTTATGTTTCTTTCTTTCTTTTTTTAAAATTTCTTGAAATGGAGTCTTGCTGTGTCACCCAGGCTGGAGTGTAGTGGCATAATCACGGCTCACTGCAACCTCCGCCTCCCAGGTTTAGGTGATTCTCCTGCCTCAGCCTCCGGAGTATCTGGGACTACAGGTGCCCGCCACCGTGCCCAGCTAATTTTTGTATTTTTAGTAGAGACAGGGTTTTTCCATGTTGGCCAGGCTGGTCTCGAACTCCTTCGCTCAGGTGATCCACCCACCTCAGCCTTCCAAAGTGCTGGGAGATTACAGGCATGAACCACTGTGCCTGGCCTCTAAGCTCAGTTTATTAAACTCAGTATTTCTTAAGCAGTGTTGAAAATCAATGAAAAACATTTGTGTGCTGATCATAAACTTAATTCTATATCCTTGGACAATTTAAATGACATTTCAAATTTAGCATTAATGATTATGTGGGGCACCAAATAAGCGTGCAACCTAAAATACACACAGCAATGACAAAACTTACTGTTTACAGCGTGGTGGGGAATTTTTAGTGGTTAATGAAACCCCAAGAGAAAGAAATAGGTAAATTACAGCAGCAAGGTATGTTGAATTAGAAAATTATATTTTGAATTAATGTCCTTAAAATAAATTAAAAAAACTTTTTACTTTGAAATAAGATCAGGCTTACGGGAAGGTAGCAAGAATAGTACAAATAACTGATGTGTACATTTAACCAATATTCACTTATTGGACCAGTGCTGTGGCTCACACCTGTAACCCTAGCACTTTGGGAGGCCGAGGCAGGCAGATCACTTGAGCTCAGGACTTGGAGAACAGCCTGGCCAATATGGTGAAAGCCCGTCTGTATTAAAAATACAAAAATTAGCCTCACATGATAGCACATGTTTGTAATCCCAGCTACCCTGGAGGCTGAGGCAGGAGGATCACTTGAACTCAGGAGACAGAGGTGGCAGTGAGCTGAGATGACACAACTGCATTCCAGCCTGGGCAACAGGATGAGACTCTGTCTCTGTCTCTGTCTCTCTCTCTCTCTCTCTCTCTCTCTCTCTCTCTCACATACACACACACACACACACACACACACACACACACACACACGTATCATATAAACGCATGGATGCAGACATACTCTTTTTTTTTTTTACACGTTCCACATTTTATTTACATTTTAAGACTAACTTTAATCTCAAAATCACATATCCATATACCTATTTCCTTTTTGTTGACTTCACTTAAACTTAAATGCATGGCTTGTTAAACAAAGACTGTAAACAAATATTTACCATGTCTGTTACATGTAACACACAAGAACAGCTTTTAACAGAAATTCATCAACTCCCCCCAACATTTTTTATTATAAATACAGGTATCAAAACAATCCTGAACATATTTTTGATACTACTAGTAGTCAGCACCCACACCGCCTCAAAAATTAACACATTTGTGACAATATTCATTGTACCTGCTACGTTTTAAACAATTTCAACTGCAGCTCTTTCACTAAGCAAGATGGGTAAAGCATGCCATTTCTGTTTTCTTTCTTGAGATTTTTACTTTTTAGAAACACACATGATTTCCCTGCCATCTGACACTTCTCCACACGCTTTCATCTTGTAAACCTGAATTCTATTTCGAGTACTCCAGGTTTATGTTTAAATGACAGTGCCTTAACAAGAGAAAAAAAAATTGTGCTGCATTTTTCCTCCTGTTACCTGAAAACATAATGGGTGTTTCATATATTAAATATATTCTTTTTTTTTTTTTTTTTGGAGACGGAGTTTCACTCTTGTTACCCAGGCTGGAGTGCAATGGTGCGATCTCGGCTCAGCGCAACCTCCGCCTCCTGAGTTCGGGCAATTCTCCTGCCTCAGCCTCCTGAGTAGCTGGGATTACAGGCATGTGCCACCATGCCCAGCTAATTTTTTGTATTTTTAGTAGAGACGGGGTTTCACCATGTTGACCAGGATGGTCTCGATCTCTTGACCTCGTGATCCATCCACCTCGGCCTCCCAAAGTGCTGGGATTACAGGCTTGAGCCACTGTGCCCGGCCCTTAAATATATTCTTACAAATGTCCAGGTCGTGTTTACCAGCTGGAATTCTTTTACTTAATGTGTGGGTATTTTGCATTGTGATATTTAATCAAGACATTAACATGAGTAGAAGGTTGTTGATTTAAGACAAGTTTGAGACCCACTAAAATTAATTGTTGTATGTTTGTCCTTCTGGGGGCTGTGAAAGCTTCATATTTTCTTTGGACATCATTAGACGTCTTAGCTCTTGAAGTACAACTTTAATGCTATATGAATTTTGCCATTTTGCTAACACTGGTATGCTCCGGGCATCCACCATCCCACTGGAATTATTTACTCCATTCATACTAATTTTTGTTACAAATCTAACTGATGGAGGAGCTTCGGGGTATTTAGGTCCACATTCTACTTTCAGGCTATATATTCTGTTTTCATAATTTGTCCTTGGCGGCCCAATAATCATGCCTGTCCACCTTGTACGTGTCATATCTTCATCATCTTCAAGGCCCCAGCTAACTGTACCGTCGCCTACTCCTTTTTGTCGTTCTTCAAGTTCTTCCAACAAGTGAAAATAACGGGGAACTTTAACTCCTATGGAGACCGCCATCTTCTCCTGCAGCCCGACACAGCCCGGATGCAGACATGCTCTTATTGCTACTTAACTTGTCCCATTGTTGGCCAGTGGGAACCTCATCCAGTAGGCTTCTGAGTCTTCCTAATTGCTAACATTTTGCATGTGTGTGTGTGTCTGTGTATTTGTTTTCTAAAGTGTTTGAGAATAAATTGAACACATCATGCCCCCTTGCCCCTAAATACTTCACTGTGTACTTCTTATATTTATTTTTTTGTAGAGGTGAGATCTCACTATGTTGCCCCAGGCTAGTCTCAAACTCCTGGGCTCAAGCGATCCTCCTGCCTTGGCCACCCAAAGTGCTGGGATTACAGGTATGAGCCATTGTGTCCAGCCATCAATGTGTACTGTAAGCAAAGGACGTTGTCTTATGTAAGCAGAATGCGATGATGGAAACTAACAGACTATCTAATCTATAGTTCACATTCATTGTCCGTTAGAGTCATTTTTTTCTCTCAGTTCAAGATTCAATCCAGAGGCTGAGTGATGGCTCATGCCTGTAATCCTTTGGGAGGCCAAGGCAGGTGGATTTTCTGAGCTTAGGAGTTCGAGACCAGTCTGGGAAACATGGTGAAACCCTGTTTCTACTAAAATACAAAAGTTAGCCACACGTGGTGGCATATGCCTCTAATTCCAGTTACTGAGGAGGCTGAGGCATGAGAATCACTTGAACCCAGGTGGTGGAGGTTGCGGTGAGCCGAGATCATGCCATTGCACTCCAGCCTGGGTGACAGAGTGAGACTCTGTCTCAAAAGAAAAAAAAAAAAAAGACTCAATTCAGGATCTCCACTGCGTTTAGTTATCCTGGAACTATTCCTAGCCTTTCTTTATTTCTCATGACATGGACATTTTCAGGGAGTAAAAGGCAGCAGTTTTGAGGAATACACCTTAATTTGGGTCTTTCTGATGTTTTTCCCGATGACATCCAGGTTATGCTTCTCAGCAGAGGTACTGCAGAAATGATGGTCAGCTGATGTGTCTACCTCTTGGGTCTCTGTGTTGGTTAAAATGTCAGTAAACAGCCAAAAGCCTCATGGATACCCTGCTGGGACAAGCCCTAATGTCCTAAAAGGACATTCTCTTTTATTTATTTATTTATTTTTTGAGCTCTGTCACTACTAAAGGTGGCCCAGAAATCGCATGGTGTTTTTTTTCTCTCTCTCTTTTCTATCCCGCACCTCTTACCTGCAATCCCAGGCCCCAGATTTCCGCCTTCTATTGTCTTTACCACTCAAAGAACCCAGGGCTCCTTAGAAAGCAGCTGATTCTAAGTCTTGAGACAGAAACCAGCCAGGCTGGATCTGGAACATTCTTTTGTTGACAAAAGGTAGAAATACTGTTTTTTATTTTAAGTATATTTTTTAAGACAGCGTCTTGCTCTGTTGCCCAGGCTGGAGTGCAGTGGCACAGTCTTGGCTCACTGCAGCCTCTGCCTTCCAGGCTCAAATGATCCTCCTACCTCAGCCTTCCAAATAGCCGAGACCACAGGTGCACACCACCATGTCTGGCTAATTTTTATTAGTAGTAGTAATGGAGCTGGGGTTTCTCCATGTTGCCCAGGCTGGTCTTGAACTCCTGAGCTCAACTGATCCACCTGCGTTAGCCTCCCAAAGTGGGATTACAGGTGTGAGCCACCTGTGATTTTTGCCTGGCCAAAAATACTTTTAAAAAAGTCATAGGCTGTTCAAAAAGAATAACTAAACTGGTTTAATGAGACTCCCACAGGCTGTGGTAGTGATTCAGTATTTGCTGAATGAGTTACGATGACCACTTAGTTCTCCCATTAAATAACCTCTGAGTTGGGCTTTACCAGTGATGGCCGTAGTTTCTAAAGTGCCAAACGTTTTAGGGTATATTGGTTTGGTTATAGCTTTTAAGAAGTACAGGTAGGAAATAAACACCATATTAAATATTTGCAACCATTAGTGGACAAAGTTTGATTCCAGAAATATTAAAATAGTCAAAAATAAAAATGCAAGGAAAGGCAAGATTCTCTCCATTTTGCAGATGAGGAAACTGAAGCTCCCCAAAGCCAGGTAACAGACACACGTGAATATTTGCTGCCTTCAGATCTTGTCCATTTTCTAGCAGAATCTAGAAGCTCTTCAGACAAAAAAGCACAAGGCCAGGCATAGTGGCTCACACCTATAATCCCAACATTTTGGGAGGGCAAGGTGGGCTTGGCCCAGGAGTTTGAGAACAGCCTGGGCAACATAGCAAGACCCTGTTTCTAAAAAAAATTTTTTTTTTGTTTTTAATTAAAGAAAAGCAAATGAAAAGCATATATCTGGGGTAATTCTACTTCTTACTTGCAGTGCAAAAAAAAAAAAGGACCCCACTTAGAAAGGGTGAAAACAAAACAACAATAAAGACTTCATAACTTCTTCAGTTTCTGTGATCTACTCCGTCTTTTTGCACCATCAGCTGGCTGATTTCTGCTCCAGACTTCTGGAAAGTCAGCCCCAGGGCTCTTCTTTTCTGTCCATCAGTTAATAACTCTTAGTCTCCTATTTTAAAAAGGTGAGTGTCAGTACAGCTGTCCCCATGGTCTCATCCACTCACCCCCAACTCTCCTCAAGTAAGCCTGGGACCCCGCATTTCACCATCTGTTCTTAGAAGAACCTCACTTTCCTTATCTTTCCTGCCCTTCGAAACCACCTAACAAAACATCATGCCTTATATAGAGTTAAAACTCTTCAACAGGCCTGGCGTGGTGGCTCTCGCTTGTAATTCTAGCGCTTTGGGAGGCAGAGATGGGAGGATCACCTGAGGTGAGGAGTTCAAGACCAGCCTGGCTAACATGGCCAAACCCTGTCTCTACTAAAAATACAAAAAATTAGGCAGGTGTGGTGGCAGGCACCTGTGATCCCAGTGACTTGGGAGGCTGGGGCAGGAGAATCATTTGAACCTGGGAGACAGAGGTTGCAGTGAGCCAAGATCGCGCCACTGCACACCAGCCTGAGCAACAGAGTGAGACTCTGTTCCAAACAAACACGCCTAAAAACCCTCTTCAACATTAGAGCCTATAGCAGTGAGCTACTGATGCATGACATATTGCCTCCAACTTAGCAGCTACAGATAACAAACATTTATTTTCTCACACCAAGTCCAAAGTTTAGGAATTAGAGCAGCTCAGCTGGGTGGCTCCAGCTTAGGGTCTCCAGAGGTTGTAGTCAAGAGGTCACTAGAGCTGCAGTCACCTGAAGGCTTGACTGGGGCAGGAGGAGCTGTGTCCAAGATGGCATCCTCCCATGGCTGTTGGCTGGAGGCCTCAGTTCCTTGCCATGTGGGCCTCCCAACATAGGGCTGCTCCCAACACCGCAGCTGGCTTGCCCTAGGGAGAGTGAGGGAGAGAGTGATCAAGACAGAAGCTGCCATGCCTTTGGTTACCTAATCTCGAAAGTGACGTCCCATGACTTCCGACATGTTTTGTTGGCCACTCTGGTTACCACCCCTGCTTTGTTGTGAGAAGTGACTGCACAAGGGTCTGAGCACCAGGCAGTCAGGGTCACCGGTCGCCACCTCAGAGACTGGCTACCACAGGTCCCATCCCAAGGAAGGAATTAATGCATGGGTGTCAGCAGAGTGTCCACTGTACTCCAGGCCTTGATGTTAGGTACATGTGATTATCTCCATTTTGCCGGTGAGGAAATAGGCCCAGGAAGGTTGACTCACTTGTTCAAGGTCACACAGTAAATGGCAGAACTGTAATTTGAAAGGAAGTAGTCTGCTTCCCTGATTAGTTAAAGAGAAAAAAAGATTTACTATGGAGAGTTCCAAACATATTCAAAATAGAATAATAAAATGAATCCCATGTCCCTATCACCCTGTTTCAATGACCAGTCATTTTTCTTTTTTCTTTGAGATGGAGTTTTGCTCTTGTTGCCCAGGCTGGAGTGCAGTGGTGGGATCTCAGTTCACCACAACCTCTGCCTCCCAGGTTCAAGCAATTCTGCCTCAGTCTCTCGAGTAGCTGGAATTACAGGCACCTGCCACCACGCCTGGCTAACTTTGTATTTTTAGTAGAGACGGGGTTTCTCCATATTGGTCAGGATGGTCTCGAACTCTTGACCTCATGTGATCTGCCCGCTCCAGCCTCTCCAAGGGCTGGGATTACAGGCATGAGCCACCGCACCTGGCCTCATTTTTCATTTCTATCCCAGCTTTTCCCCTTCCCCTGATCATTTTGAAGCAAACCACAGATACCACATCATATGCATACTTTGATATCCCTAAGAGACAAGAATGACTTCTTTTTTTTTTGAGACAGGGTCTCTCACTCTGTTGTCAAGGTTGGAGTGCAGTGGTGCGATCTCGCCTCACTGCAACCTCTGCCACCCAGGTTCAAGTGATTCTTGTGCCTCAGCCTCCCAGGTGGTTGGGATTACAGGTGTGCACCACCACGCTTGGCTAATTTTTGACAAGAATCATTTTTAAAACAAAACCACAATAGAATTTTTTCAACTTTCGATCTTTTTTTTTTTTTTTTTCCTGTTCTGTTACCCAGGCTGGAGATCAGTGGCATGATGAGGGCTCATTACAGCCTCAACCTCCACTACTCAGGTGAGCCTCCCACTTCAGCCTCCTGAGTAGCTGAGACCACAGGTGCATGGCACCACACCTGGCTAATTTTTTGATTTTTTTGTAGAGATAAGCTCTCACTATGTTGCGCAGGCTGGTCTCTATTCATCGGCTTAAGTCACCTTCCTGCCTCAGCCTCCCAAAGTTCATGAGCCACCATGCCCAGCCTCCAGTTTTTGAAACTTTAAAATAATTGACAATACCCAAATGGCATGAAATATCCAGCCAGTGTCTCTATCCTTGATTGGCTCATCACTTTATTTTTTACAACTTACTCATTTGAGCCACAATTGAAATAACATCCACACATTGCAATATTGTAGTTGGTTGCTATAAAAGATTCCTTTTACTGAAATAGGTTTCTCACCCTCTCCTCTCTCTCTTTCTTATCTTTT